CTGGAGCTCGGTTACGCCTCGTGCAATGCCGATTCCTCGCCGATTCCTCGCCCGTCCTCGAGCTCGGTTACGCCTCGTCTAAGGAGAAGTTGGACTCTTCCTTCCAACAGTGCTACACCGCAGGTGGCTTCTTCGGTCCCGACGGGCACAAAGACACTCGACAGCGGTGGCAGGTTTACGTGGCTGGAAGGACTCGCACTGTAGCTAACGCCGCTTTGGAATTTTCAGCCGATGGGATAGGTTTCCGAGGCGTTAGCTTGTTCCCCGCAAGGTCGATGATGGCGCCGTATTCACACAGGAAGTTCATTTCGAGAATGACGTCCCTCGAACAGTCTTGCAGAACGACGAACATCACAGGGCTGGTTTCACAGTGCATCTGAATGCGAGCGGTGCACCTGCCAACAGGTGTGATGAGATGTCCGCTGGCGGTTCGTATCTGCGGTGCGTCCCATGACGTCGTAACTTTCCGAAGGCGGCGAGAGAGCCTCCCACTGAAAACGGAGTAGTCTGCTCCTGTGTCGACGAGTGCAGTCGCGTCCTGGCCGTCGATTATAACGTTGAGGTTATTCGATACTCTTGCAGAAAATTCGTTTTGGGGTGTTGCGGGGTTAGAGTGGGAGTGCTCCGACGATCTTGGAGGATCTCGGCATCGTTCGTTTTCGGCAACACCACCTCCCGGCATTGCCGCGCCTAGTTTTCCCGACGGGAAGTGATAGGTGACAGGCCGTCTAGTCGAGACCGGCGGAAGGGCGATGGCGAGCGTCGGGAGAACGGTGAACGGCATCCTCGGTGGGGACTTGACTCAGGAGATGAAGAGCGGTGGAGGTAGTCCTCGATGTCCCGAGGTCGCTCTCCGAGACGGGATCGAGGGTCGTTGGGTGCCAACCCTCGTAGGCCCAGCTGGCGGTAGGGGCATCGTCGGTAGATGTGGTTCACTTCACCGCAGTGGAAACACACCGGGCGTCGGTCGGCCGTCCTCCAGACGTCGCTCTTTCTTGGCGCAACTTGTTCTGGGCGAACGTGCGCCCGATCTTCCTGGCGTCGGGAATGCTGCGCGCTGTGGAGGCACACTTCGGGGGAGCGCCATGTACGGACGCAGGACTGGTATGGTTCTTCGGACCATTGCGGCGTAGCTTAACGTCGGTTCCTCCGGTGTCGCCATGTTGATGGGAACTTCAGGGTGGACCGCCCGCTGTACTTCCTCGCGCACGGCCTTGGTGGTGGAGAGTGTCGCTGGACGGCTTGCGGCTGGTAGCAACCGGCGGATTTTCTCCTGGACGACCTCCCGGATGATTTCGCGGATGTCCGTACCAGAAGCGTTTTCGCCGCTAAGCAGAGCCGTTGCAGTGACACTTGGATGCCGCTGGTAGTGGGAGGCGTGCGCTTTGGGGGCGCGCTCGATGTTTGTCGCCTAGGTGTCGAAGGCGTCGACGGTTGCCGGCGGGTTGCGGACGAGGCCTCCGAAGATGTCGTCTCTCACCCCGCGCATGAGGATTCGTAGCTTCTTCTCCTCTGTAGCCCGAGGGTCGGCGCGGGCGCTCAGGCGCAGAACGTCCTCTATGAAGCCGGTGACGCTCTCGTTGGGGACCAGGGTTCTGGTTCGCAGTAGGTCCTCGGCTCTCTCTCGGCCGTAGTGGTTGACGAACGTAGCTTTCAGATCGGTCTTGAAAATGTCCCAGGACGTCAAAGAGGACTCATGGTTCTCGTACCAGTGCTTGGCGGTCCCCTCAAGCGAAAAATAGACGTTTTGCAGGCGCTGCTCGTCGGTCCAGCCCATGTGGCGGGCAACGCGTTCATATTGGTCGATCCAGTCCTCAACGTCTTCGTATTGCTCGCCGTGGAACGGAGCCGCCGTCCGGGGTACGACGGGCAGGTAAACGACGGCAGAAGCGGTCGGGGTCTGCGGCTGGTTGGCCATCGTAGTCTTCGGCTTCGGCTTGTCCGGCAGCAAACCCAATTCAGCAGCCTTTCCCTGGATGCGGCGGCTGGCCCGAGTTTCACGTTCCTCGTAAAGCGGTCTTCTCGACGGGCTTTCAATCGGACTTGCGTTGCGGGCCCTCGTAGGGTACGCTACAAGGACATGCGTTACCCCGCACCTTCACCAAGATGTCACGAATGGCAATGTATGAGGCGGTAATAACTGAATAAACTGAATTTTTAATCTGGCGAACTTGTCCCCAAAACAAAAGGGAATACAAAATAGTAACAAAGCGCCGCGAGTGTGGAAGTGGGCGAGACAGCAGAGTCAAAAGCTGGAGCGAAACTGAGTCCGGCTGGCCACGCGGAGCCCCTTTTGTACACGGGTGGGCTTCTGTAACAATCGGCATTGAAGGTTCGGCGTGTAGAACATTCTAACCTCGAATCAGCAACACAGTTCTCGGATTTAACAGAACATTATATCAGAGTCAACAAAAATGCGTACCCGCGGCCAGGAATCGAACTCTGGCTTTCTGCGTGGAAGGCACACAGTAAAAGTTTTTACACCTTTAAGGGTGTAAAAGGGGTGTTGTAGCAACTTACACCCTCGGCAACACCCTTTTAACACCCTAGATCTAGGAATACACCCTCCTAATTTTACCGAAAGAGGTGTTGTTTTGTGTTACACCCTACATTTAGCGAAGAGTGTGAGAAGGGTGTAGAAGAGGGCGCTAAATAAATAATATGAAATGGTTTTGTAAAGCTTATATATGGCTCTGTCCATAATGTACAGGTAAGATTTCTGCTTGAAAAACAACAGTTGTTAGCAGTCCACTTTTTTTGTAATGTCAGTTGTAATTCATGCAAATAGCTGATAATAAAGTGCCTATTTTGCATACAATTTTTATTTTTGCAAACGCAGTTTCATATATGAGTTCATATTTACTTTTCGTTCAAATCACTCCATGCTCAGAAATTGGAAACTAGGGTGGAATGTCAATACTAGCATTTTTTTCAAATATTTATTGATGGAAGTGAATCAGTAAGAAAACCAGTTAGTCTCGAGTATATATCTGACAACATGAAATAAAAATATATTAAAAATGTTTGACAAATATTCATGACATGCTGCTAGAACCTATCAAATGCCCATGTCAACCTTTGTAAAATATTCATTTGAAAATATGACGACATGCACAAAAACTCACACACATAAAGAGGCAAAACCCATAATAAACCAGTCCGAGACATCCCATACAAAAATGGTCTATGGTTCTATGAGAAAATTCAATGGCAGGCTATCACCCCCTGTACCTTTGCATGGTCTGCTTAGAAGTTTATAAATACAGCTACAGCCAGCTATAGAAAAGTTTAGGGGCGTGTGTTTAAAGACTGGGAACCAATTAATTTTCTTTTCCCGCCTATATAAAGTTCTATGATCTAGAGTCTAAAGACTGGGAACCAATACATCTTTCTTTACCCACCTATAGAAATTTCTATGGCCCTGAGTCTAAAGACTCAGGGCTATGTTTCAATAACAACAAAAACAATACTAATAAAAAAATATTAATAATCAATAAGTTAGTGTTTTAACAGTGTCCACCCTGTTGGAAAATTTCGATGATGGAAAGATGACGGAAAAGGCTCATACAAGCGTAACCGTAATATGGGACATCCTATACAAGCGAAAAAGGCGGATCCAGTATAGTGGATTAAAGCGGAACGATACAGGTAGGCGGAACCATACAAGCGTGTCGTATTATGGGACATCCTATACCAGCGTTTTGGAATATGGCGGAACCGTGTGGAACCATACATGCATAACGTAATATGGGACAACCTATACCAGCGAAAAGGCGATACCAGCACGGTGGAGCCATATGGCTCCAACATGCTGGTTTCGCCTTTTCACTGTTGTACAGGGCGATTTAGTTTTAAGCTTTACATATATGTTTAGAAAGGTCGTGAAAGCTAAATTAATGCGGTTTGTGCAGGCGAGTTATACGGCCAGGCGTACGTAGTATAGGGACCTAATCGTAACAATCAGTCAGATAATTAAATACAATTTGTTAATTAACTTTTTAATTAGTGAAAATGAAAATATGGTTTCAATTAGAAACTTGCTGAGTCATTGAAAACCACAAAATCAACTCTTTTTAGAAGGATATAATGCAGGGGTAGCCTTTTACGCGTTCTGTAAGAACGCTTTATTTGGACGAGTTTCTAGGTTTCAGTTTCTTATCAAAGCTCATCTCTGCGCCCAAGGTCCTGTTCCCCCTTAGACACGCAACGCACGTGCGCCTTGCTTCCCTCCATCCTACGAGGGAGGCGAGGGGGCGGCTTCGCACTGCGGCCACCGGGCAGCAGGACCACAGGTGCAAAGATGCGCTCTGGTAAGAAACCAAAGTCTGGAAACGCGTACAAATTGACCATTTTTTTAGAACGCCATAAAATGCTGCTCTTGTTTTATATCTTCACAAAGAAAGTTGATTTAGTGTGTTTTGATGATGCTTAGTAAGTTTCTAATTGGAACCATGGGTCTATTTTCACTGATTAAAAATTTCAGGAACATACCATACTTAGAGAGAGGCTGAAGCGGTTTTGTATTTGAGAAAACACTTTTAAATCTTCATATGACCTCCAGAATCTCAAATATGCAAATTATTTGGTAATTTTATGAATCGAGGCTGCATAGAGTCATTTTTAAAGCGCTGTGAAAGCACTTCCCTGGAGAGCGACGTCACAAAAGTGGCTTTCGAACTCTTTGCTCATGCATCTTGTGGGGATCGAAAAGAAGAAGAATAAAGATGCCTCGTGAGGCAGACCGAACTAGCTCGCGCTCAGGACGAGCGCGGGGTAGAACGGGCGTAGACACCAGTGAAGCGGCTGTCTTTTCTTCAGTCTCCACATTGGCGCCACAGCGTGGGGCCCGAACCCAGATTCCCGTACAGTCAGGTACGTTTAGCAGGCCTTCGCAGTCGCTGCGCCTATACAGACATTGGATTACTTCACCGCCGAGCTTGTTATAGTGACCGTTAAAATGTCAACTTCGCCCCCGCTTACGCGATCCCGTAGCCGCCCCAATGCAGCGAACACAGCTCGTGCTACCGCGACTGGTGATGGAGCGGAGGACTTGCGACCGGGCTCTGATATACCCACAGCAGACTTGGAGGTTCCATTGCCCGCTGAGAGCCTTTCCCCACCGGTGCCGCTTGCACCTCTCACCGCGTTGGGCCCATTGCCAGAACAAATGGCATTGTTCCTGGCGGAGATGTCGCGGCTCCTGCAGGAACAACGCCGTCCGCTACCACCCTTAGTTCCAACACCTCGGACGGGGACATTGCGTTTACATGCCTAGATTCCGAAATATTCAGGCTACGCAGATAGAAAATCGGTTGCTGATTTTCTTGACGAATTGCGTGAATACCAGGCGGTGTCTGAAATGTCTGAGGTTGAACTTCTATCACGCGTACTGCCGATCGCCCTCACGGGAAGCGCCGCGACATGGCGTCGGAGACAATCACCCTTCTCGACGCTACAAGACTTTTCGGAGCAGTTCAAAAATGAATTTCTGCCTCCCGATTACGGCGCGCGAATGCTCGATGAGCTTAGGGCGCGCACTCAGCACCGCGACGAGTCCCTAGTCGAGTTTGTTCGGGCGCTCCAAACTCTCTATGACAGGGCTGACCCTAGTGCGTCCGACTCAGACAAAGTGTCGCGGGCTATCCGGCAAAGCCACCCGCAGTTTCATCCCTACCTGCGTGGGCGGGTGTTCCGGAGTTTGGACGAGTTGGCCCAAGCAGCCCACCAGATCCAGGCGGACATCCTGGCCGAACTAAGATATCGGCCTCCTCCACCGCCGGAGGCTTGCCTGGAACTGTCCTGCGCTTGGACAGGCACGACCAGGCAATCCATGGACGAGCATGGGCCACGGCCAGTTCTCCCCGGAAGGGTACCCCGAGCGCTGGACCCTTACACCCACGGACTGGGCGATGGTGCTCAAGTCCGCGAGCATGGCCGCCAATACCAAGCCCCATCCAGAGAGCGATACCCAAGGGCCACCTCAGCTACTCTCCGCTGCTTCCGGTGCGGAAGTCTCGGCCACTTTCGCCGGGACTGCACCCGGCGGGTTTCAAACGACAATTCGGGAAACGAGGTAGGCCGCCGATAGCAGGGCCCTGTCTGTCGGTGGCTTCTCCTTGTTACAGGCCCTCGGTCACCCCACCGTCTCGGTTCTTCAGCAGTCTCGGCCCAGCCTCACGAGCAGCCCCGCCGGGGGCCTCCTGTGATGAGCCCGATGTTGCAGCACCTGGTGTGGCGCCCGCTCGAGCGCCCGATGACGCTCCCGCTCCCGGATTACGCGGCGACGCTCTCGCAGGCGCTCGCGGAGATGCCCCAGGTCCCGGCGTGGCGCCCGCTCGAGCGCCCGATGACGCTCCCGCTCACGGATTATGCGGTGACGCTCTCGGCGGCGCTCGCGGAGATGCCTCCGGTAGTACCAGCGCCGGTGCTTTCCCCGAGGTTTCCCACGGAGCGGTTCTCGGTGGCGTCCTGGTCCCCGACGAGACAACTCCGGAGAACAGACGTGACGACAACGGCTGCTCGCAGGAAGTGGCAGCGGCGTGGCCGCCCGTCGTCCACCCACATGCCAGAAAAATGGCTGATGCGACCACACCAGCGCGGCCTTCTGGAAAACCCGTAGACAAGTGTATGGCCCGTGCGGTCCAACCGGAACCCCGTGCCCACTACCGAACGGTGACCTGGGCGGGTCTACGAGACGTGACAATCCTCAGCATTTCATTGATCATGGGAATCCTAGCGACCATGGTATCATGGGTGAGTCGGCTGAAAGTCTATGACAAGCTACTTCGAATTTATAGGTTCCGTCCAGTCACGTACTTTATACCATCCCTTGACGCTATGCGTCACGAAAGTAGAGGTATAACAGAACCCTACATTGTGGTTAACATTGCCGGTCAACAGATCGCAGCTCTCTTGGATACCGGAGCTGCAATTTCACTTTTTGGAGACTTCGTTAGAAAATTGTGCAAAGACCGGAACATCTCAATGCGGCGTTCTCAGAGAGAGCTCCGTACGGCATCTGACCAACTTATCTCCGTCACTGAAGGAGCTCGACTGAAGCTGAGCTTTGATGGGCGACAATGTCGACAACATTTCACATATCTGCCGGGTCTCGCCTGCCCTATTCTTCTCGGTCGAGATTTCATCTCCAGGGAAAAAATAGTCCTAGATTTGTCAGCAGAAGAATATCGATATGGCTCGCAGTCCGCTACTTTCAAGTTTGCAGTCAGACCAATGCCTACGGCAGCTCGTCCTCTAGAGGGTACAATATGTGAAAGATTCCCCTCCTCGGGGTATCTGCACGTGGCAATGAAGTCATTTTCTGGCACCGACTCGGACCGTTCACGTATAGCGAAGCTTTTGGAGAATTTCTCACATATGTTTACAGAAACACCTGGGAGGACTAACATCCTCGAACACCGAATTGATGCTGGAGACACTCCGCCTATCCGATTTAACGCGCGGCCCCTAAGTGTTCACAAACGCACACTCCTGGACGGAGCACTGAATGAGATGATTCGGACCGGAGCCGTCCGTCCCTCGAAAAGTCCATGGGCTTTTCCGGTTGTGTTAGCACCCAAGAAGGATGGCACCGCACGCCTCTGCGTAGATTACCGTCCTCTGAACGCGGTCACGAAGCGAGATGCATACCCCTTTCCATCAGTCTCGTCTGTTTTATATGCACTGGGGTCTGCACGGATATTCACAACCCTCGACTGTAGTAGGGGATTTTTGCAAATTCCCGTAGCAACAGATGACGTCCCTAAAACAGCATTTGTTTGCCCCAGGGGTCTGTTCGAATTTGTCCGACTCCCCTTCGGCCTATCTAACTCCCCTGCGAGCTTCCAGAGGCTCATGGATAGAGTCTTGGGTGATGCAAAGTTTAACTATGCAATGGCCTACATGGACGACGTAGTAGTGTTTTCTAGTACTATCGAGGACCACCTTCACCATTTACAGGTCGTCCTGAAGCGCATGAGTGAAGCTGGTCTCACGATTAACCCTTCAAAAGTGCAACTTGCATCACCCAAAGTGGAGCTTCTTGGCTTCGTGGTCGACCAAGGATAGCTCCAGCCGCAAGCAGAGAAGCTCAGAGCAATTATAGAATTTCCCCAGCCACGAGACAAAAAAAGTTTACAACGGTACCTTGGCATGGTGGGATTCTACCGCGAGTTTATTGCCAACTGCGCTGATTTGGCCCGGCCCCTTCACCAGCTATTACGCCGGGAAGTTCCATGGACCTGGACTTCCGCTCAGGAACAAGCGTTTAAAGCGTTAGCAAATGCTATTGCGGATACTGCGTCTCTGAGACTTCCTAATCTCAATGCTCCATTCGTCCTCCATACGGATGCCAGTGATTACGGTATAGGTGCAGTATTACTCCAAGAACATAACGCAGCGTTGCGGCCCGTTGCATTCGCGAGTCATACTCTCACCGCGGCCGAATGTAACTATACGGTAACCGAAAAAGAATGTCTAGCTATAATATTCGCTTTGCGAAAGTTTGACATGTACCTAGATGGAGCGACCTTCACCATCCAGACTGACCATCAAGCATTAACATGGCTGAAAAACCTTAAACACCCCGCTGGACGCCTTGCCCGCTGGGCTCTGGCTTTACAGAAATATGATTTTTCCATTGAATACAAACCGGGAAGGTTCAATGTCGCAGCAGATGCCCTGTCACGAGCACCCCTACCCCCCCGAAAAGCGGATGACACAGCGGAACTCGTCGCTGTTGCTGACGCTGAAGTCTCCTGGGGTCTTTCTGTGAGCCGGGACGAGCTACGAGAAGCCCAGCAAAAAGACGACATGTGCCAAAAGGTATCTCGGTGCTCGACTCAGCCCCATCAAACCGATGGAAACAGGACGTATGGGTCGGTAGACGCATATGTACACAGCGAGGATGGACTCCTCCTTCGCTACATACCGCAGGAAGACGAAGCCGACCCCACAACGTCCCCTTTTCGTGTGGTCGTACCCCGTACATTAAGGCAAACTTTCCTCCGGTATTTTCATGACAGTGCGCTAGCGGGCCACAGTGACGGTCAGAAAACCTACCAGAAACTGTGTCGCGTTGCCACTTGGCCGAGGATGCGCCAGGATGTTCTCCGCTACACACGCAGTTGCCTACGTTGCCAACAAGCCAAACCCAGGGGAGGTAAACCCCCTGGTTTGATGCAGTCAGTGGAAAGTCGTTATCCATGGGAGATTGTTTCATGTGACATAATGGGCCCCTTTCCACGCAGCCCCAAAGGAAACAGGTATCTCCTGGTAGTCACCGACCACTTCTCAAAGTGGGTGGAGCTTCACCCTCTCCGCCAACTGAGTTCCAGGACCATTTGGGACAAATTGAGGGACACCTTCACCCGCTTCGGGTTCTGTTCCCAATTAATTTCCGACAACGCATCCTACTTCACAAGTAAGGTTTTTGAGGACTGTTGCGCAACACTGGGCATCCAGCACAAGTGCACCACTCCTTACCACCCTCAAGCCAACATAGCTGAGAGGGTCAACCGGAACCTCAAAGCAATGCTAGTGGTATACACCGAGAGACATAAAGACTGGGACAATTACATCCCGGAAATGGCTTTCGCCACTCGAACTACGGAGAACCGTACGACAGGGTTCACACCTTCCCAAATAAACTTCGGACGCGAGCTGCGATTTCCCCTCGAGAACAGCTTTTCCGACGATAATCGAAGACCAAACACCTCGTACGCGAGATTCGCTGAACAACTTCGTGATAAAATCACCGACGCTGTGCGAGTGGCTCGACAAAATATTGAGTTAGCGCAGCTCGATCAGAGGAACCAATATGACCAAGGCAGGAGATCCCTAGAATTTTCAATAGGCGACCGCGTTCTCCGGCGCGTGCACCCGCTTAGTAATGCAGCAAAGGGATTCGCGGCATCACTAGCTCCTCGTTGGGAAGGTCCCTTGGAAGTTGTTTCACGGGTATCACATTTGGTGTATAGGTTACGACATGTCGAAGACGGGTCGTTAACTGGACCCGTTAACATTTGTGATCTGAAGCCGTTTGTTTCTAGACATGTCACCCTTTAGGGATGTCCTAAGAAACACAGTCCCCCGTCAATTTTTGCCACACGAAAGATTGTTGCTCATGGTTATTTTCTATCCAGGCATGCCACCTCGACGCAGCAACACCCATTCCTTCCGACGCTCTCGGAGCCGCTCCCGATCCCCCCTACGCCCCCAATTCAACCCACGGGGCCACTCGCGCCGCGCCAGGCGACATAACCGCCGTCAGCAACCGCCACGCACTGCCGAGGCTGCCACCTGGTGCGTGATGGAGGCCGGTCGAATGGTCACATTCGCGTCCCGGATGGCCTGGGAACACCAACCTCAAGTGCCACAAGGGACTGCACCAGAAGACGTTCCCCATCCCTTCCGGCGACGGACACTGACGGAGCGCTGTGCTGCAGATCTACCCGCCGCCTACGACGAGGAAGAATATGCCGACATCTGTGAACTTTGCCGCGTCCCACTCATTTCATGCGAACAACATCATCAAGGAGCACTTCACCACGACCGAGAAGACCGCCAGCGGGCGCTGGTGCGAGCTGAATCACGGGCCCTTACACCTGCCGACATCGAGGCCGCCCTCCTTATTGTTGGCCGTGCCTGCCCCGAACGCCTGCGCCGAACACTACCCTTACCACCAGAACTGGCGAACATCAGACTCAGCGACGACGAAATGTAACCAACTGATTAGGAAACTCCCTGCCCCCCCCCCCCCCTGCCAAGAGGGGGATGATGTGGGGATCGAAAAGAAGAAGAATAAAGATGCCTCGTGAGGCAGACCGAACTAGCTCGCGCTCAGGACGAGCGCGGGGTAGAACGGGCGTAGACACCAGTGAAGCGGCTGTCTTTTCTTCAGTCTCCACAATCTTCAGCACCTATCAAAGCTATGCACGCACGTGCTATTTTTTAAAAGGGCAGAAAAATGTGTCACGACTGGTGCCAATGCGGGAGAATATACCTAGAAAACTTGAGATTGGACTCGCGGCCCTTAAGCGACACGCTTGGCAGCCGAAAGGTCTTCTTACGATGTCACTATTGGTAGGATGTTTTTTTGTGTTTTCTCACGTGTAGTTATATCTTTGTGGAAAACGAACGGGATATTCAGATTCGCGGGATAAAACTATGCTAGGATGAACCTCCAATCTAGTTTTCTGAAAGAAGACTGGCACATATCTGTAATAAGCTGACTGATCATTACAAATTAGCCTTTTATACTATGCCGCCCTGGCCTTATAACTCACGTACACAGACCGCGTAAATGTAGCTTTTACGGCTTTTTTAAAAAAAAATCTGTAAAACATACAAAAAAAACTCTCTAGAATGTCCCCCAATACGATACGATTGAATGGTTCCTTTCCCGCTTGCATTGTTCAAGAAAGACCTGTGGACATCCAGCGTTTCATTGGAATGCTGGATGTCAGCGAGTCTACATTAGTGAGTGGTTTCAAACAAGCATGATGTTTGCACACCAGCAAGCTCTTATCCGAGGCTCACCAGGAGCACTAAGAGCAGAGGCAAAATGTCGTGACGTGGTAAATTTGGTTGCAGGTATTTATTTTTAGAAGAATTGCAAGCAGCAAAGCTTAACTTTGCTCAAAAGAAGATAATTAAAAATTCAATACTGAACAATGGTGTCCCTTGAGCTGTCAGACCAAACTCCCACTCTTGCCACTCAGGAGTTCCTAACTTGTGCGTAGAGGATCAGCACAACCCAGATTTGTGCTGCAAGCGCACCTGCAATATAAAAGTTGAATAAACATGAGATGAAATATGAGACGTTTACAATTCTCTGTAATGTGAAATTAGAGCACAGATCTTGAAGAGGAGGATGGGAGGGTATGACCCCCCACCCCCTAACCCTCCTACTCTTCTGCTCCCTCCCATTTAGCGAAAAATTTCCCTGAATTTAGCGGGAACATTTGCCCACTAAATTTAGCGGGTTAAGTTTTCCACAAAATTTAGCGCAGAAATTGATGTCACATGACCTCAACACAAATGCAGTTTTCCCACTAAAAGTAGCGGGGAAAATGACGTTGCATGACCGTGTCATGTCATCCATAAAAAATTCAGTTTCTCAGCTAGACTTAGCGGAAATATTGACGTCACATGACCGCAACATTAATTCAATTTCCTGCCAAGTTTAGTTGGGCGGTTACGCCGAGGGCGACGCCGCGAAACGCGGAAACGGGTGCTAAGAGCTGCGCTAAAAAAACTAAATGCAACAGGTGAAATAAGATGAAAATTAGAGATAAGAAAAAGAGAAGAGAATCTAAGATACCGTTCTCAGATCCTTCCTTTGGTCCGTTCTCAAATGTTTTGATTTCAAGAAATGTTTTAATCTTTATTCATACCCAGAGAATCCCTCCCAGTTTCAGCATGAATGCAATAAATCAATGCAGACTAGACCTTGTAAACTATAATGCACATGAAAATGAATGTTTGCCACATAGTCATGTATGAGTCAGTGGCTCAGATCTCTAAATACATTTGTATTGAGGAACATTCTTGAATAAAACTTCTGGGCTTTGAGTTCGACACTTTGTACTTCCATAAGGAACACTGTATGGCACTGATTTTTTTTTGTGACACATCAGAAACAGCAGTGTCATCCTTGCATACCTAACAAGAATTTTTTTTTTTTTTTAGCATGGCATGTGCTTATGCTTATACAGCCTCCTTTAACAAAATTTCCTTTGTAGAGCTTTTTATTGGTTCTTATTTAACTCGCACGACAGATTTGGGACCTTGAATTCTCACTCGGCATCAACAGTTTTATATATTAATGTAATAGTGAAAGACAAGATTAATGGTCTTGAGTACGGCTCAACAAGCACAGATGTTGAGAAAAGTACTGAAGAAAACTCAAATGTCAAAATAAAAATAAGCTGGAATGTGGATACAATTAAGGACATGGTCATGAATACAGTAGCAGATTCAATATGAAGAATACGTGTTAGACGCACACTCAAAGAAACCTGTTGCATCTATATTCATGCAAATTACTTCGCAGAACCCAGCGCTGCAGTCTCGGGTGCGAGTTCGCTGAATGAGTCCACTGAAAATGAGTGCAGACGGAAAAAGCAGTTTGATCTGTGACAATGAGCATTACATAGGCAAGTGACATGTCATTGTTACTGTTACAGTGCCGAATGTTTCAAACTGCCAGTCGTATCATTCTGCGAGTTCCATCCATATATTACAGGGTTTGGCTCTCTTGAATTCTTTGCGAGAAAAATTATGAACTGGAAATGTCTAGCGTAGTTCTAAAAAAACTACTTCCAGAATCCTAACTCAGCATCGTAAAGAATATAAAAAGTTTCTAGAGATAAGGTTAGTGCAGGAGTTGAATAAACTAAACACTTAGTTTTGTGAAACCATCTTGCCGTAGTAAACGTATAAAGTTCCCCTAGGTAGAGCTAGTCATTACGGATGATTGTGCCCATTCCATACCATAAAAATTTAATTTGCGACCTACACTATTTACAGACTCAACCAACTCTGAGTAAGTGGAACACTTGGCACTAAAGATTGGTCTCACCATGACTGTCTGCAAACATCCACATAATAATTTCCATAAACCTATGCATTTCAAGAAAATATTTGGAGTGAGCTGTTTAAACTGCCATAACACTTTTTAACACTAATAGAAAGCCTGTAGTGGGCCACAACTTAAGCAGTTTTTACTTCATTATGAAGGGCAATAACAAATATGTCAAGCTTAAAACTAGGCCTGCACTGAATTGCTTTCTTAAGTTGAACGTGCTATGCTCGGTTCAATATATTATCTTTGCAGAGCTGACAATGTGCAAGTTCCCATTTTTTTTATATTTCACATCTCCCGACTGCTGGGTGGGGTAGGTACATAAGATTAATGACACCAACGTAACACAATGATTATTTTAAGAATTTGTCTGGGTATGGCACTAGCGAAGCCATCTGCGGGAAGTTATTTCTGTGACTCCGTCGAACCTACATCCGTGGGCTTTAAGTTCACATGTGAATCATGTCTGCAGATGCCTTTTTGTAATTGGAACTCCATCCAAACCGAGATTTCAATGTTTTTTGCATTTTAGGCTTAGTAGTGCTTTTGCTGTTTCACTTCAAGAAGAGGTAAGAATGCTTATTTCGAGTAGCATACCTAACACTTGGTGGCATGAGGACTCCCTTGTCGTGATGCTAATCGAAAGCCACAGGCAGGGAGATACTGTGATGCTCTTGTTGCTGGGATTACCTCCCCCATGGTCCTGGCTGGACCACAGAAGAAGATTGAGTCCAAGCTTGTGGCCACTAGGATCTCCAGATCTTGAGGCAACCAAGTAGCTGGAAATAAAAACAAATCACAATCAAGTACTTGGCAGAGCTACATTAGAATGGCTAGCATATTCTTTCATGATCAGCACATAGATCCTTTTGTTTTTATACTTTGTACTTGTACCTATTAAAGAACTGCTCCTTTACAGCCACAGTCATAAATACACCACAGGACAAGGCCACACAGGCCTTGAAATGATGGGTACCGAATTGAGGCGAATGATCAAATGCATTCATTTAACCCTCTTTCACCCCAACCTGGGAGATTTCTGTCAAATATTCACATTTAACTCTAAAGACTATAAAAAAACCTACTACTGCAATGCTGAGCCGTATAGTGGGAGAGTTTAGCCAATGGGTGTGGTGACAAAGGTGCCGGAGAGGAGGAAAGAGAGGAGAGCGCCGAAGGAAAGAGAGAGAAGGCAGCAAAAAGGAGACGACCGCTATTTTGACGCAACACTGTTGGCGCGGAGCACTGCTGAGGCTATGTGTCGTCTGCTACTGGCTTAATTCATTTTTGCCTTTATAAAAGTTTGCGTTTAAACATGGAGAAACTTCTTTCTTTAGGTTTTTAAGCCACCGAGGAATAACACTATATTATTTTATTGCCAGAGCCTGCCAAATAAAAGCAAAGGGCAGGTATCTGGATAGAAAGAGTTTAGTTGGCGCACCAAGAGGCTAACCAATAAAAATGGGTACCACTCTGCGCAAAATGCCTAAAAAGCGTGTATCTCTACTTGACACTAACAGCGGCACACACTATCTATTTTACTGACTAAAGGGTACTAGATCATTATTTTCAGCTAACTAGTCAAAATAGATATTCTCGCCGAATTGCTTTTAAGGAAAATTTTTAAATTTACAAGAACTATTAAGACAACGGCTAAAAAAAAGCAATGGCAATACCAACAATCGAATTCGCCTGCTCTCCAGTAGCACGACATCTATAGAAAGCAGACCTGCAGAATGAACAAGCAGTCTAAAGAAGAGTATGTCCCATGTATAATTTGTTTCCATGCTGCAAAGCAAGTGCTGTAAAGAGGTATCACGACATTAACAAAATTTCTTGCAATCAGTTGAGAACAAGTTAGAGCAGTGAACTTGTCCTTGCCCTTGGCATAACGTTTTAGTGTTGCCCATGGAAACTCAAATAAATTTGTGAATAAAAACAAAAAAAACTAACCTTCATAAAAAAAATCTAACTTTCGCAAAGAAAAGTTATCTTGAACAAAATATGTGGGATACAGTTGTACAGCATCCATTTTTGTGCTGAACCAATTTTGAGGCAAATCAGCGACAATGAAAAGAAAACGCCTGAGTACATTAGGAAAAGACAGAAAAAATGCATACCTACAACAAAAAAATTTAGAACGACCACGGGCAGGAACCTCTGATGAGGCAAACGGAGTGACTCCCTGCAATGGGCCTGCGCAGACCAGAGAACAAGATCTGTCAGAGCTTGCAGCCATAAGGTGCTTCATACCATGAAGTTCCAGAAGTAGCTGCAATTGCAAGCAAAGTGCATTTCATTTCTCTGCA